TGAATGTGATTGTGATTACTCATTGGTTAAGTTTCTAATGTGAGCTTTTCTTTGAAATTGAGCAGCCTAACCACTATTTATTAGTTGTTTGAGAACAACCAATAGTTCAGTTTTGGGGTATTTGATGGGACGAAAATTCGTTCCCATCTAAGCCCATTTTGATGGTAAAATATCATTTGTTCCCTCATCTGATGAGCAACTTTTGCATTATAAACACATGTTTATATCTTTTTGACAAAAATACGGTGAGGAACGGATGATGAGGTAATCATTTGAGAAATATAAAAAAATGGGAATGGATTGGAACATTAAATACACCTGCTCCACTAACTCAATCTCTCTGACCACCTTGCAGGAAACGTTGAAAGAAGCTTCCATAAAACATAAAGAGGTACAACAATCAAGCAGGAAGAAACGTGTATAGTAGAGAATAAGGAGTTCTCATTGGCCAAGAGGAAATAAAAGCATGGAAAGTGCAGAAGGAAAGGCAAATCTCAATAATAAGTGTCCCATCCAGCAACTTGCGTCTCTCTTGCGCATTGTTCACACCGCCCCTTTCATGCAGTCAAGAAAACAACTCAAGAGAAATTACAAGTTTTGCCATCACTCTTTTGGCCTATAAATAGGACGTTCCAACATGAAGAAACCATTGAATTCCTTAAGAAGATATCACATAGTTTCAGTTTTAGATTTTACTTTGCAGTTGTATAGTTTTAGCAGTAGTTAAGTGACAACAACTTCTCCTTTATCCTGTATCACCCACTTGAGACTCCTCACGAGCAACAACCATACTTCTCCATTTTATTTTGTTGTAACGTAACTTGTTTCTTATTTATAAAAGTTATTATTTCTTTTCTATTCCATTCGTTATCTCTGAACTGAATCTCGGGTCTATGGGATTTCAGTTTGGAATAATTATGTTTATTGTTATAGCCATGGGCTAATTTATTTGTGGAACGAAAAAGCTGTGAAGTTCTTAAAGAACTATTTTCAAAACTTTTGCACTAAGGCTTTTAAATTTCTGTGATTAAGTGTGCTATATTCATTGCGTATCAATGAAAATTGAACTGATACTGAGAAAGGAATTTCCATAAGGAAGGAGTTTTAGACAGCTTAATCAGAGGAGGAAGGTAGTGTTGTGAAACACTACTATTTCACAACACTACTGGTTGCCTTAAGAATAAGGAACCACCTCGTTCACTGAAGGTTCTGAACTTAGTAACTGTTGGAGTCAAGGGAACCATAAGAATATAAAAACTTGTGAGCCATTAAAGTCCATGAGCTGAGGAATCAAAGTTGGCAGTGAAAAGACCTGAACAAATTCAGAAGGGTTAAGTCTTGAGTTGAGAATATAACTACTTAAGAATGGAACAGCGGATTCGTTCCTTGTGTTAAAAACTGTTTTTACCCATCAATATTGTTGTCTCTTATTATTGTTATGTTATTGTTATTTTCTTTCATAAATCTTGTGACTACAATATCAAAACTCCAATGAATATTGTCGTTCCTTTTCTCAACAAGAAGGATTTCATATATAACGACGCGATGAGTTGTTTGAAGTCAGACTGAACATACTATCCTTGAGGAACGTTGTCAAGATAGTAGGGAACAAACGACCAAACAGTTCAAATACTGTATTTTCTTTTCATTTTTAATTCTTTATAAAATAGTTAAGGTATTATTTAAAGTTCTATCCTCGTGGGAACGATAATCTGGGCATTAATAACCCCATTTATTACTTGATGCGTGCACTTGCGCACTTGAGTTGAAATCAAGAGAACGAATGTGTTTTCTCTTGATGAATTGAATTAAGGGAACGTCCTTTAAATGAACATCTAAGCAACCAACAAGTTCAGACCCAACAGAAGACAATAGCTTTTCTGGTACTTTATATAGATGATGTAAGAACCTGCACCGTTAATTTAGGAAATTAATTAAATAAATATGAGAATTAGCAAATAATTTCATAATTGACCCTAATAATTATGAGGAGACTTAAATAATTATATAAAGTAATTAATAATGTTAAAAGTCGTTTTTCTGACGAAAAGTACAGATACCGGTTCTGCCTCACGGTATAAATGCGTATCGATGAAGTATCCCGGAAAATTACAATAAGTGCATGAATATTCCTAGAATAATATATAGGACTGTGATTTCCAGTTTGAAGTCAAAATAATGAGAACTGGTGCCAGAACTGATACTGGCTATGTAAAAGCGCGTACCGGAAAGGTACTGCGAAAAATAAAATAAAAATATGACAAATCTTAGAAAAATGAGTAGGTTCAGATTCCAAAGTTTGGGATTAAAATGCTAAGAGTAACTATTAGTGCTAATATAGTGTGATTAAAACTTAATGAGACTATATATAGGATTGACACATGATCCTAGATCAGATTTTTACACCTCTACGTGAGTCTTTTGCTTAAGCTTCAAACCAGCCACCCTTGCCACCCTTCCTCTCCACTTTGTGAGCCAAGAGGCCACATTTCCTCTTGGTTTCTCCACCAAATCTCCTTGGGTGAGTGTGCATTGGACTTGAGAGAGTGTAAGGTGCTTCCTTTTTTGAGTTTGGGTTCTGTTTGGTGAGGTTCTTGTGGCTGAGTTCTTGGGTTGTGGTGTTGGAGCCCTTGTCTTGGTTGTTGAAGCTCCAAGTGTTAGCCTTTGTGAAGAAAACCAAGTCTTGTGTGCCATTTTTGTGCACCCTTGTTGTCTGAACTTTGGAGCTGAAGTGAGAGCTCCAAGAGCATCCTCCATCTCTGTTTTGGTGCTTGGGGTAAGTGTTGAACCTTGATCATGATTTTTAGTTGTTTAAAGGTTGAGTCTTGGCATGTTAATGGGTTAAATAAGTAACTAACCAGTATATGAACCTAAAAGAGTGTAAAAATGCATGTTTGGACGTAGTAATGGGTTAAAAAACCAACCTTGGAAGTGATATCTCGCGAAATGCAGAAACTGCATTCTGTCGCGAAATATCCAGATATTGATATTCGAATATGATATACAGATATTGGTATCCGGATATGGGGTCTGTAGATATCCGGATATGAATATCCGGATATGTGGTCTGTAGATATCCGAATATGGATATCCGGATATATTATCTTTATGTTTATGTTGTTATTGTTGAGACTATGCTGGGCTTTGTTGCCTTATTTGGTGAGCATGGGGATTGTCCATGCCACATTGATTGACTTGACTTTATGCTTTTAGATTCGAGTTGTATAATTGTATCAGGATTATGTCCGGTCTACGTGTTGTAGTTCCGTGACTTAGATACTCACAGATATTTATGTATTGAGGTAATTCAGTTAGTTGTTTTATGGCAATTTACATACATGCAATGTTTTGGAAATGAATTAAGTAATCCAACTTGGTAAGGATAATGATGTCATAATTGAAAGTAAAAAGTTATTCCGCATTTTTAAATTAAGCGTGGCTTAATACGATGACATTTTAACAAACCGGGTATACACGGGGTGTTACATTTTATGGTATCAAAGCACGTTCTAGGGAAAAGTCTGTATGTATTGCAATAACTTAGGATGTTTGTTGTGAGTTGTGTCTGTGTGTTCTCTCTATTGGGTTTTGCTATGATGATGCATATATGACCACATTGCGTGGGCCTGATCAACTCATTCTCTGTGTAACTTGTGCAGAGTCAAGGTACTACCTCGGAGGAACCGAGACACTAGCGGGGATCAACCTGATCCTGTCCTGGCTGAGATGCAGGCGGCTCGACAAGCCGACCAGGAGGCCACGAGAATGGCAAACCAGGCTATGCTAGACGCCGTGAGAGAGGCAAACAGGAAAGCCACTGAGGATGTATTGGAGGCGAACCGCCTGGCAAACATGACTATGATGAGGGTTATGTTGGAGGAGATGAGGGCTGGTCCAGCTGTTGGTCAGTTCCCTCCAATACTTAATGTTATATATATATATATATATATATATATATATATATATATATATATATAAACGAAAGGCACGCCTTATTATTCTTATTACTTTATAAATATACTGAATTACTCAAGGAAAAAATCGTATGAATAAAAAAGAAAGTATACAAATAAGACATATCATTTTATGTATAATAGTGGGGAATTATGGGACAAAAAGTAAATTCGCTTGGTTTTAGACTTGGTACAACTCAAAATCATGATTCTGTTTGGTTTGCCCAACCAATAAATTATTCGGATAATCTACAAGAAGATAAAAAAATACAAGATTGTATCACGAATTTTATAGAAAAAAATACAAGAATTTCTTCCGGCGTCGAGGGAATTGGACGGATAAAGATTCGAAAAAGAATCGATCTGATTCAAGTCACAATCTATATGAGATTTCCAAAGTTATTTTGTCGAGGGTAAGCCTTAAAGAATCGAAGAATTACAAATGAATGTACAAGAAAAAGTAAATTGTGTGAACCGAAAAATCAACATTGTTATTACAAAAATTGCAAACGCTTATAGACACCCAAATATTATTGCAGAATTTATAGCCGAACAATTAAAGAATAGAGTTTCATTTCGTAAAGCTATTGAATTAACTTAACAGGCAAGTACAAAAGGAGTGCAAGTACAAATAGCGGGACGTATCAACGGAAAAGAAATTGCACGTGTCGAATGGATCAGAAAAGGTCAGGTTCCTCTACAAACTGTTTGAACTAAAATTGATTGTAGTTCTTATACAGTTCAGACTATTTATGGGGTATTAGGAATCAAAGTTTGGATATTTCTAAACAAAGAGTAATTAACTTTTCCTTATCTTTAATGTTTTGTGTTTTTTGATAAAAAAAAAATAACAAATTCTTACACTCTTATTCTAAAACAAAAAATGAAAAATTTTACAAGATTGAATATAAAAATTCAATTAATCATTGAATATTGATAGAATTGCTATACTTGGTGTGCGGCTCGTTGGTTTTTTTTTTAGTTTGGTTTAAATTAAAAAAACCAATCTATAATAAGAATTTAATGAATAAAGATATATATATATATATATGTGCGCGCGCACGTCTGTGTGTGCGAAGAGCAAAAACCATAAGAAAATTGCGTGGCACGAAAGGGGTGACATATCCATTGTATTTTACAAAGTAACAAAAAAAAAACTATAAAAATAAAGACATAGCAGATCAATTTTCTCTTTCATGGATTTCCAAATTCCACCTCATTCAACTTTCGTCAACTGAAGCCCCAATATTAAATTAACAATGAAAGTTTTATCCCATAATTTTGAGGCATAGAGCAGCTCAAACTCATTCTCATCATCACAACCAACATCTTCAAACTCACTCTCACATGCGAAAACTCGACCCAGAATACAAAATTTGAAAACCTAACCGAGACTCGAACAAGCACCCAGTGTACAGAGGTGTTCGCATGCGAAATTGGGGTTTTCAAAAGCTAAATCCACGGCGGCTCAGGCCGCTGATCATGGCCGGAGCAGAAGCAACCCGGGAAAAAAATGGGTTTGGTTTAGACAGATCATGAGCTTCTTGCTTTGCGTGAGATGAAAGTAGAGAAGGATCTTCGTATTCAGAGCCTTTTCGATTTGGGGATTTATCTATAGGAGCTACTTTGTCGTTGGATAGGCCACAAATTCAATGGTGGTTATTTATTTCTTCTTTTCCTATTATTTTTAGTTTGATCCGTGGGCTGGCCCCATCCAACACAAGGGATGAGAGCACCATATGGGGTTAAGGCAAAAAATAACCCAACATTGATAGGGCTGAAAATGGGTCTGCATGGGCTATCCCACGGGCTGGAGCCCGTTTTGACAAATTTACTGGAGATAATCGAATACATGCTCTCATTTCATACTTAGTTCTTTAACACCAATTGAGCTACCATTATTTGATCTCAAAGAAAACTTTAGTCACAAGTGGAATGAAATGGGTATATACTTTATTGATTAAATAATTAGAGTTCAATTTTAGGCAAGAGTATAGAAAAGTGATCAAAAATCATAAAATATAAAATCATAATGTAAAAAAGTATAAAAAATTGTAAAAACGTAAAATTGCACTAATAAATCGAGATTTTGACTACTATAATCATCTATTTAATTTTGTCTTTCTTGGGCCTTGAGCAATGTACTAAAACAAAAAATTCATAAATAAGGTTTTATTTTTGGTAAACCATAAATAAGTTTTTTTTTTTTTTTTTATAACATAATAAGTTTTTATTTAGCTGATGGTATGTTTGAATTTGTTAATGAATATTTAAATTACGTAGTAATTTTATTCTTCATTCTGTAATTCTTCAAAGGTAGAGCTGCTAACGCTGTTCCCATCGTCGTTGTCGTTTGTCTCTGTTGTGGTTGTCGTTGGGGCGAAGAAAACGCACTAGAGATGGATCCGAAGCTAAGAGAGGTTTCTCAGCTCTTCGATCGCTTTAAGGCTGCGTTTCTCAGGAACGACTATGATACCTGTTCCAATCTCCTTTCCCAGCTTAAGGTAATTCCACCCAACCAAACCCTACTTTATTTATTGCATTATTCAAAAACCCTTTGTTGCTTTTTTATTTTTATTTTTGGGAATTTGAATTTGAATCTGGTCTTTTGTTAAGTAAAAAAGTTGTTGGTTGTTTAGGTTGCTTTTGTTTGAGATCATTATAGCAATGGTGCATTCTGGGTCTGATAGATTGCAGTGACACCCTTGTTTTTTTGGATTTTATTAGTTAATTCGTAATGCTATGGGCTTAGGTGATTACTGCAAGCTGCCTGAATTCATTGCTCTGACTTATTTAGTCTATAAGATAGTATTTCAAGGTCTTAACTTCCTTCTTTTGTGGTGCATGATTGCATTGTTGTTCTTTTATTGTTATTATTATTATTATTATTGTTATGTCAGTGTAAATATTAAGTGACTTGTTTACTTGCAGGTGTTGCTAACAGACTTCAGAAGCCTTCCACCCTTGTTTGCTGATACACCTAATGCCATTCATGAGTTGACATTAGCAAGTAACGTTCTTCACTCCAAATAGTTGCTCTGTTTTTTCCCCCAGTTTCCTGCAGTCATTGCTAAGCCTGCTTAGTTAAGTAATAGAAGCAGAACTTAAATTTGGTTCATACCGCAAAGGAAATTTTTGTGCATTAGCTATCCTATAAGCTTTGTGATTGATAATGGAATTTCTCTTTAATGCCTGCTATTGTAATTGGCAGTGGCAACTGGCAAGTACAGCTGAAACTTAATATTCCTGTTTTTTTTTTTTTTTTTCTTCAAACCATGTGTCCATAGCTAGTAAAAGAGCTTTTTGCTATCTGGTAGTGGCGGAAGTACAAGTTAGTCTTTATTTTACTGTATGACTAATGTTTAATATGGTTTCCTCTAAATAAGAGGAGAATGAAAAGAGTATAATAAATTTTTTATTGTAAATTTGGAAATTGTTAGATGCTTGAAGGCAATGAAATGATAAGCCATATTGATTAAACCAATTAAATTACTAATATTTTTCTTTGTAACTGAATCATATCATTAGCATGAATAAGATCATAACTGCTTAAAAAATGAAAAGAAAAAATGCTAGAAGTTCTATGTTACGATCCTATTTGCAAGGTATGGGACTTGGAGTCCCACATTAGTTGTATGGGCAACTAATGTGGGATTTATAAGGCTTTGGGCACTCTCACTCTTTGAACTAGCTTTTGGAGTGGTGCACCTCAAGGTTCTTATCATTCTATGTCTGAGAATTTTTTTCTTTTTCTTTTTCCTGTTGGCTTTTGAAACTTCCAGGGGATATATACGAGCATGCTGTTGTCCTTAGTGTGAAAATCGAGGATCAGGATGCCTTCGAGAGGGATTTCTTTCAGTTGAAACCTTATTATACAGATGCCTGGTAACTTATTCTTGTCCCTCTTTAAACATGTACAAAATATCTGTTACTACTCTGGGACAGCTGAATCTGCAACCAAAACAATGGACATTTCCTGATCATTTACTTAAAATAAACCTGTATAATGTTTGTCAACAAATAAAAAAGTAGTATACATATTGGAGTATGATGCTGTGTGTGTGTATATTTATATATTTTGTGGAGTACTTGTATTTTATGCGGTCTTTTCATGTGTTGCAGTAACCGTCTTCCACCATCTTCTCAGGAGTACCCAATACTAGGTCTCAACCTGTTGAGACTACTTGTGCAGAATAGGATTGCTGAATTCCATACTGAGTTGGAATTGCTTTCATCCACCGCTCTAGAGAATCCTTGCATTAAGCATGCTGTGGAGTTGGAGCAATCTTTTATGGAAGGTGCCTACAATCGTGTCTTGAGTGCTCGACAGACAGTGCCACATGATACATATGTTTATTTCATGGATCTTTTGGCTAAGACCGTCAGGTAATGAATTTTATTATTATTGTTATTTTTCCCTAATAGCCTAGCAATTGATTGAACTCATGTGATAAACTAGAAGAAACTGGAACTCCATCTAAGATTTGTTTACTTCAGAAGTTGGGTTTAGTTAGACTGTTTTGGATTTTTCTCCTTCGAACTGATTTATTTAATATTATTATTAAATTTGCTGAGTTATTTATATTGTTGTAATTATATATACTTTCTGCTTCCTACAATGGCAATTTGGCAGAAGCACGACTCTCCCCATCGCCTCAACCCTTTAGTGGCTGTATATTACTTTGCATTTTGGTATTTATATACATTTTCTAATTAGTTTATATCTGTCTTGAAACATTCAGAGATGAAATAGCAGGATGCAGTGAGAGGGCATATGACTATATTTCAATTAAGGATGCTAGACAAATGTTGTTGTTCTCCTCAGACCAGGAACTCTTGGAATATATTAAAGAGGTGAGCAATGTTGTGATATATATACACTGAGCATATCAAGTGAGGGGAGCAAATATTGACCGTTTAATCTTACGTGGATGCTCAAGATTGGTTTTACTTAAGTCCGATCTTGACTGTGTAAGATTGAACGGTCAAGATTAGCTACTTTTATGCTTCCACCTAATACGCCTGGTATGTGTACTGTGTCCATGTGTGTAATTGTGTGTGTGGGGTTTGGATATTGTTTTTCTTTGGAATGAGTTTACTACTAGTTTGTTTACAAAATGGATTGCACAATTTTATTATATTACGAGTGTTCTAAAGTTGTTTTCCATTGATTGCAGGAGCATCCTGAGTGGGAGATAAAAAATGGTTGTCTCTTTTTCGAAAAGGCAAAAGAATCTACACCATACAAAGAAATACCTTCTCTGCAACTCATCAACCAAACACTTAGTTATGCTAGGGAGTTGGAGAGGATTGTCTGAAAAGAAATGCAATGGCTTTTGTGTCTCTAAAATTTCTAGGTGTTAATACTATCTCATGAAATTGTTTATTTCTGATGCAACGCGGAACTAAAAAAATTTTAGTCTCTCTATTTTGGTCATTTAGGTGGCTGTATAATTTGTTGGGATATTTTTTTATTCCTATAGTTGAGCTATGGGAAAATAGAAAAAAAGAGTAAATATCTTTTTTGGTCCTCAGAAAATTTCACGAGGCCCGTTTTAGTCCCTAGCAAATAAAAAGGCCCATCGTGGTCCCTCAAAAATTCAAGAGGACCCATTTAGTTGAAATCGTGGTCCCTCACAAATTCAAAAAAGACTCATATTAGTCCTCAAAAGGACTAAAATGGGTCCAATTTAAATTTTTTAGGGACCACGATGGGCCTTTTTATTTGCTACGGACTAAAATGAGCCTCGTGAAATTTTCTGAGGACCAAAAATGGTATTTACTCTAGAAAAAACACTCCATACTTATGTCCAATGAAGCACAGACACTCCAAAAAACAGGGAGTGTCGTGTCCGACACGCTGACACGCTCCGACACGGTGTTCGACACGCAGTCAACATTCTTGACACGTTGACCATTTTGACACACGAATTTGACTATGTCCGACACGGTCGGATGGCATTTTTGTAATAAAGCTTCCACTTGATCATATCAATTTATTTATTTTTGCCTTTTTTTTCCTTTAAGTAGATAAGAGATCATCTCAGCATCATTGTTGTTAATTCCTATTACGCTCTTGTTGTATCTCCTTCTCTCTAATATCTCTCTGTAATCTGATTTGATCTCTCTATCTGATATTATATATATCTCTCTCTCATTCCAGTTCTTGTTTTTTTTATTAAAGCTTCCACCTTTATAACGTGTTGATGGATATTATTAATTTGTTTCATTTTTTTTGTTAAATTATTGAATATTAAATGAAATATACACTATATAAATTATAAATATTATTTAATATTAAAACGTGTTTCAACGTGTCGAAATTCATATTTTTTTAGGATTGACGTGTCGGAGTGTCGTGTCGTGTGTTGTATTGGTGCTATATAGCTTATGTCAAACTTTTCTGTGTTGAGGACTAGATGATTGATGATTTTGTAGTCTATATTTCAAAACCATTAAAAGGTTCATATTCAAATTATTGGATTTTGCAATTTTAGGAGGCTTGTATTTCTTTGATCACTTTAGAAAATTTAGATTGGTGCTCCGCTGATACCTTTTGTTTTTCTGAAGCAAATACTGCTAGTTATTCATTTTTTAACTAAATGGTGTTTGGGATTTTCTTAATAAACCCTACCCGTGGCATGTTTTTGGGTTTATAAATATTTTAAATGTGCAAGCATTATTAAAAAAAAAATTCTCATATATTTAAATGAACTATTATAATTGTAACGGCACTTAATATTATATTTGATGATAACATATCGGTCTGATAATGGGATGTTACATCTGCTATATATGTTTATGAATGGTAATAAATTATGGATTTAATGTGGATCTTGATGTAAGAGACTTGAATACTATAAGATATATGTGCACATCATGTATGACAGTGATTATTGATTGAAAAACTTTTTGAGAAGTTTTATGTTATTGATATGTCAATTAGTCTTGAATTGCTATGACAGTGAAAAACGAGATGAAAAAACAAATGATTTGTCCCTAAGACAAACTTTCGAGTTAATTAATTGTCTGCATAAGGGTTAAGTGATAAGATGTATGATTCTTCTTTTAAGCGCAATATGATTTGAAAGATAATCTGATATACGAGAATATTCGGGAGTGCTATGATGCTGGAGATATTTGCTCTGGGAGCATCAGAGTTCTCGGAAGATATGAGATAGCTTCCGTAAGGACTATAGTTCTCGGATTATATGATAGTTTAGTGAGGACTTCGGTGCTTGGAAAATATGAGATAGTTTCCTTGAGTATACGGGTGCTTGAAAGATTTTGAAAAGGAAAGTTAGATTATATAGAGATGTGAAATATGAATTGTGCATAAATTTAAGTGTACATTTATTGAAAGCTGTGATATGATTATATGAATTGCTATATATGATATTTATAAGATGCGAGTTATGTAGCCGTGCGGTCTTCTCTCATATGTATATGGGAGTAAAGGAACCAAGTGGTTTTCTCTCAAGGTATGTATGTGCCTTGTAGAGTTAAGGAGCCTGTGAGGTTTTCTCTACAGGAATGTTTTCTCTACAGGAATGGTAATTGAATATTGATATTGAGAATTCAGGAAATGGTGGATGAGTTATAAGTTGTGTCATGTGACAAGTTTATATATATATATATATATATATGGGTTTTATTAATCTCATGTTAAAGGAGATAGTTATCTCATGTCACAGAGATAAATTTGTGGGCTCCACCACCTGAAAAAATAAAAGAAAAGAAAAGAAAAAGGTGGCACAGTTATCGAAGGGTGTGTAGGAGATAAAATGTATCTTATGTAACGTAAGAAAAGTTTTTCCCTATATATATATATATATATATATATATATGAGATTAAAGTATCTGCTGTAGATTTAGATAAGTGTATCTGCTGTTCAGCTTAACGACACCGTTTTGGTTGTTTTTTAATTAAAACGAATCTTCTTTGTTTTATCTCGAGGCGGTTGGCCACCGCTCGCTGCTCTCCGACGACGAAGCCACAACGTCGTTTCATGAAACTCTGCCCAGGCTCTCAAAATGGGTTGTAACTTTTGATTGCCACTTCTCAAAATGGAGATGTCGAGGTTCTATACAGAGTGCTCATTTTGGAAGGATTAACAGAGGTCTTCAAGAGTAACTGTAACTGTAACAAAAGAAACGTCACCTAGAATAAATTGAGAAATTAAAGCCGCTTAAACTCTTTATATTTTATTTCATTCTGAGTATTAAGGTGTGCTTTCTTAACTAATTGAATTCCTGTTCAGTTTGCAATTACTCGAAAATTGAACCCAAAAACAGAAAAGGATGCTTCGAGTTGAACTTTTCCTTTCTTTTTTGGGCAGACCTTCCCCTTTACTTAAACTATGATCATATATATGTAAACACCTATCACCTGACAATCCCAGATTAATGTTAAAAAAAAACACAGGAAGAAAGAAAGAAAAGTGGCTTCATCATTGGAGAGCAGTGAGCGGTGGTAAACCGCCTCGAGATAAAACATAGAAGATTCGTTTTAATTAAAAAAACAACCAAAACGGTGTCGTTAAGCTGAACAGCAGATACACTTATCTAAAGTTACAGCAGATACTTTAATCCCTATATATATATATATGGTAAAATTATTTCTGCAGCCGCTTTATGTGTAGCAACGACAGGTGTATGGTTAAGATTTTTCTCATTTAATGCTTTCATCCTTTGTATGGTTATGATTTCCCGCATTTAATACTTTCAAGTATATATATGGCAAGTATTTGATTGCTACACATACAGCAACTGTAGAAATGTAAACCCCTATATATATATATATATATATATATATATATATATATATATATATATATATATAGGTTTAGTGAGTGTACAGTGACTGGGTATAAAATTTGGTCCAGTGTACTATGTTCTCCCGGAAGAACACCATTAAATATTTAGTGCACTATATTCTCGCAGGAGAACTTAGTGCATTGGACGGTCTAGTCACTGAATTTTCATTTTTTCCTATATATATATATATATATATATATATATACCACCGTTATACTCTGGAGGGACTAATGTTCTCAGAGATATCTGTATGTACTATCTGTGGAGGATTTTAACTCCAGATGTCGTATTCTAGTTGCCATTATATATGATTTAATCATAAATATGTGATTTTTTTTTTTGGTAAATATATATGTGATTTAATTCATGTTGATGTGATGAATTGATCCTTTGAAATAACCTCGGAGGATACAAAATTTGATATTAATGTGAAATGGTATTTTGATATGATGTAAATTAACATGGAACAATTTTGATGATCCATAATAAGCATAGATTGAATCAAATGCGAATGTTGGATGAGATTTGGTAGTTTGATATATGTATAAGATGATGAGGTAAAAGTGACTAACAGCTAGAGAAGCTGAGTTAGATACCCAAGATGGTGGAAATATAAAGATTAGATAAATATGGATGTAGTGAAGTCAGTGTTATAATTCAAGCAGAAAGCTGATAGCACATATATATGTGATCAAGCAAGTAAGTAATGCAAGTAAGAGAAAGACCTAACTAAGCAGCTTTGAGATCAGAAGATGAATTCTCTGATAGTGCTTGGTATTGGAAACATATGGTGTTCCGATTTTGAGGTCAAAATAGACCAATGATTACAAAAATTATTAAAAATAAGTCAAAGTATGATTATTTATTATCCAATGAGAAAGTTTGTAAATGAAGAAAAGTCAAAAGTCTATGGAAAATGACTAAAACTTGTTCTGCAATCTTCTAATTCACATCTCATTTCTTTCTTTGTGCCCTAGACAGCCGTGATAGAAGAAAGAACAAGTATGTTAAAACTCAACCAATAAGAATTAAGTGTGAAGTTTGACAAGTCAAAGGTGGAAAAATTAATGTAACTTGGTCACAAAGCAAACTACAAGGTCGATTACTTCATTTCTTTGCTCTCCATTTCACGCCTCTTTCCTTTCATTTCCAAGTGTAGAACTTTGAGTGTCTATGGACCAATGATATGCATTAAAATGTGGAAAAGTCAAAGAAAGAAATTACATTAAGATAACTAAGTCATTCTTTTTAACACCAAGTTAGTTTTCTCTCTTCCATGACATCTTCTTTCTTTCTTCTTTGGTCGAGCTTCAAGGAGAGAAAAGAGCAAGCATGGAACTTGGGGTTTTAACCACCTTTAGCCATAGATGTCTTCACGAAACTTGAAGATAACAACATTGTGATCATATCTCTATTCTTTGTTTCTTGAGAGAGACTTTATATGGTGAGTTTTCTTTCCCTTCTCCTTCGACTCTAAAGTTGCCAAAAGTGGTTTCATGGTGTTTCATCCATTGTTAAAGCTTGAAAGGTGTTGAATAGGTGTATTGGAAGCTATTTATGGTAAGAAACCTAAATTCCAGTGACTGAATCTTGAGATGTCAAGTTGGTTTTTCATGTATGTGGTTTAGGGGGGTGTTCATCAACTGATCCAAACGGATTCAAATCGCAGTGACCGAACCGAAAAACCGATAACCGAAAAAACCGAAAACCGAAAAACAAATGCAAATTTTAATTGGATTGGATCGGTTTTCAGATTGGTTAATGAAAACCGATTCAATCCAAACTGATCCAATATATTAATTCCCCTCTATCTACTTGGGCTTTTCCTCGATCATAGCCCAGAAATTTCTAAACTCAAGACCTATTAACCCTTAAACTAAACCCAAGAAAAAATCTAGTCACATCTCATCAACATTGTGGCTGAATTGTGAGGTGTTCTATCATGATTATTTGATAGCTTTTATGATTGGTTAATGGTTGTTTGTGTAGTTGATGATGAACTATTCATTTAAAGGCTTAAAATGAACAAGTGAGAATGATGAATTTATAAGAAGCCTAATCTGCCATATGATGTGAAAAATTAGGTTGGAAGTTGGTTTGATGTTGTTTTGATGATGATTATTATGTATTAGATAGTGTAGTGTGAAATGGACATGTTTTTGCTATTGGAAATTTTGGAAAGTTAATGAATCCACATGCTATGTTTTGACCACTTCATGGAAAACATGTAGGAAGAATGTTGAACTTTAATTAGTGTTTGGAAGACATTTTCTATATCATTCTAAGTGTTGATAAAGTGTGAAAGTTATGCCTTTATTTTGGTTTATGGAAGATGGCATAATGTTGGCATTCTTTGATATTTGGGAATAATTAGTCATGGCTTGATTTTTGGCACGAAGGTTTATGTAAAATGTGATTAGAAATGATGTGTAATGAAGGAAATGTATTAAAACCAACTTTAGCATGATTTTCGAAAATATGATGTAAGATTAGAGTGTTGAACTTTGGAATTTTGACACCTTAAATGAACCTTGATGGGTTTGACTGTTGTTGGTTGGTAAATTAGGTTGGAGGCAAGTGATATAGTATTGGAATAACAAGATTTGGAATTAAACAAGTGTGAAAGCCCTAGTTCTTGTTTAGTCAATAATAAGGTATGTGAAATTGTGATTTATTTGGTGTTTTGACCATTAGGTCAATATTTGATTCATGATAAGTATTAATGGTTCCAATATCCTATGTGAAATAAGTGATTTTGGATTTGAAGTTTGTGGATTATCTTTCTTAGATTTCAAGTAAACTTGGAAAAGAAGTTTCAAGAGGTAAGCTTTTGGTGTAGGAGTTTTCTCCTTCTTTGTTTGTCCCACCATGGGTCAGTTAGATTATGGTTTTGATATGTATGCTGGATGTTGTTAGATACTTAGTATAGTTGTACTCATATAAGATATGTGTAACACCCTGTTTGCAATCGGTTTGTTAACATATAATATTGTAAATAAAAGCACATCTTACTTGATAAAAATAGCGAAAAACTTAATATAAGCATCACAATAGTTCTCTGTAAACTACGTGATTTAAGTTTTTCCTTTATGTTCAATTTTTACGTATTACCATGCATACTTATTTTTCCAATTATTATAAATTGTAGTCTTATACCTGTATGAAATTCATACTTGACAAACCAGTGACCATAAGTCATGATCAAATCATTATCTAAAGATAATGACAGGTACTATTTCGAATAGAATTTAGCGACAACATAACAATTGTAAATTGGACTAACCAGGGAACATATCCCACTATTATTTTCAACCTAAATTACAGAAAAGTCCAATATACAAATTGTCCATATTAATTGCTTTGGAATCCATCCATGGATTTTTACAAATTTTGGCTTTGTGCCAATTCTTAATAATCTTAAAACTTACAGACATATTTACCTGTACATATTAAAATCCAATATAAATAACTAAACAAACTCATATTCAGATAGTGATCCCAAGGCATATATATAACATGCCCATCATATATATACACATACATCCTTGTACCAAACATATACAAATGTACAAAGGCTACACCTGCCTCTCAAAATACATATTATACTGTACACATATGCCTTATCATAACATATTATACTCTCAAAACTAGACAGTCATCCACTACTCATGACATAACACATATACTTATATGGGTTTAAAGTTTTTAAAGTTACTTTAGATAACTCTATCTAATGTTCACCAAAATGCACACAAAAAGTATATGAAGTCCATGTGGACCCATGTGAAGAGAAGAGAGAAAAAAAAAACGTTCCATGCACACTTTTTTGTATATATTTTGGTGAACATTAAATAAAGTTATCTAAGGTAACTTTAGAAACTTTAAACCCTACATATATATACAATCTCTAAAATAACAGATTAGCTAACTCTCGTGCTATGTCATCTAGCCATCATGAACGTGTCTCTTACCCTTTTTGGGCTCACCTGTTATTGGAGTACCTGACACATGACTCCAAACCTGATGGGATATAAAATCTCAGTAAACTCAAGGTTTATGAAGGGATTCTCCGCGCATAAATTCACTTCCTGCATGAAAGGTTAGAACACATAGTATAGTAGAAAACATATAGCGTAATTAATTTGAATCCTAAATATATAACTTAATACACAGGAATCCTGAATACATAACTTAATACACACGAATCCTAAATCTTGTACGGGTTATCCCAATGGATTTATACCCTGAGGATAATCTCACATAACACAATAATAATCAAAACAACTATTCTAAGCATTTAATAAAACTTAACAAACTTCGAAATTATTTCCTCATCATATAATTTAATTTATCCAGACCTGAATCTCCTACAAATTATCCCATAGGATAATAACTTGAAACTAAACCTCAAATATCACATTACTCCCAAACACTAAATCTGCCAAGGTTATTCCAAAGAAACAATTCCTCACCGAAACATCATAAAATTTGTCATGTCATAAAATCACATAGTTAAATCATACTTCCTAGTCAAATATCTGATAACAAAATCAAATCCTGATACATAGTCAAATATCTAATCATCATATCAAATCCCGATACCCAATTCAATATCTAATCATCACATCAAATCCTGACTATGTCAGAAGGTTAAAATAGAACATCAGAAACCTGCTGGTCTACTTCAGTCGCTTGATATGCCAGAGTGGAAATGGGAAAGCATCTCTATGGATTTTGTGATTTGTTTGCCTCAAACTCAGGCTGGTTATGATTCAATTTAGGTTATTGTGGATAAACTTACTAAGTCTGCTCCTTTTCTGCCAGTACGAGCTGACTTCTTTACTTAGAGTTTGGCAAAGCTCTATGCGAATGAGATTGTACGGCTTCGTGGGATTCCGGTTAGCAATATGAGTAATTTTACTTCACATTTCTGGGCAGCAGGCTTTTGGCACTCAGCTTAGGCTGAGCACTGCGTATCATCTGCAGATGATGGTCAGACTGAGAGGACTATTTAGACACTTGAGGACATGCTAAGAGCTTGCACATTAGAGCAAGGTACTGCTTGGGACAGGTATCTGTTACTGGTGAAATTTTCTTATAATAATAGCTTTCATTCCAGTCTGGGCATGACACTGTATGATACTTTGTATGGGCGAAGATGTCAGACTCTTACTTACTGGACTGAGGTAGGAGATAAAGAAAGATTTGGACCGAATTTTGTGCAGAAAACTACTAAATAAATTGAGATGATCAGAGAAAAATTGAAACAGACACAGAATCGTCAGAAAAGTTATTACGATAATAAGCATAGACCGTTGGAATTTGAAGAAGAAGATCATGTATTTGTGCAGTTGTCTTCGGTCATTGGCGTTGGTCATGCATTGGGAGTAAGGAAGTTGAGTCCAAGATTTAGTGGATCGTACCAGATTACTAAGAGAGTGGGATTGGTCGCCTATCAACTTGCCTTACCTCCCCAGTTGTCTAATCTACATGATGTTTTTTATGTGTCACAGCTGCGGCGTTATGTTTCGGATGAATCACATGTGGTGATACCGAATAATATTGAGATACGGGAGAATCTGAAGACTCCTACTAGTCTTATAGACATTCTTGACCGGGTTGAAAAGAGGCTGAGAAGCAAAGGTGGATGATTTGAATTATTTTGAATTAAGTGAGGTGGCATGCGGGATAGGGCAAGAAAATTTTAGGGCAACCATGGTCCTCCTACATCGTCCTCCTCTCCTCATACTCCAAAACCCGCGGCCAACCATGGTTATAGGGCAAGAAAATTTCTCCTCCATTTCTTCATCAAATCCGCTCAAACCTTACATGAAAATTTAAGTAATCCACCTTTTGAACTCAACTCACACCTCTATTCTTCTTAAAAGCCCCTACATTTTGATATATTTCCTCTTGAAGCTTGCAAAAATTTGATGGAGATGGAGCCAATGGTGCTTGTTGCTTGAGTGGTTGCTTGGGGAACATTTATAGGAGTCTTAAGCATTGATTTATGGTAAGTTTCCACACATTTTATTGGATTTTCATTGAGATCAAAAATTGAAGACCTAAGCTTATGTGTTTGTGAGTTTGGGTGTTGAAGGCCTTAAATGACTTTGTGTCTTTGTTAAATTTTGCTTAGAATGATGTTTAATGATGTTTGAACTCATAAAAGTTCGTGTAACTTAGAAAAATTTCATGGATGAACGTGGTTCTTGAGAAAATGAGTTGTTGAAAAATTATGTAATTGAGTTATTGGTGATTTGAATCATTGATAATTGGATTGTATGAGAGTGTTATGCATGTGGATTGAGCGAAAAATCCCTTGGTTTCTATAGGGTATAAATTCGGCCATATAGGGTAATTTTGAGGATAATTGTGCAAGTTTGTGTTTGGCTTGATGAATTGATGCAGTACATGTTTAAATCAACTAATGTGGACCTAAGTATGGACCTTGAACCTTCAAAATGCAAGGAAATTCCCTAGCCCCTTGATGCCTCACATTCGGCTATATAGAGTATTTGTGGGGAAAATTATGCTAAGTTAGGATTTGATGTAATTGTAGGTTGATATGGTGTTGTGGATGGCTAAGGAAATCATAAGAATGGTTGAATAAAATTAACAACAAGATTGAGTAATTATGGCCTTAATGGTCGAAACATTAATGAATATGACAGGGGGTATTGTGTTGTCTTAAATTATGACTTATTGGACAAGTTGATTGATGATCATGTTAGTATTTGGGTGTCCTAGAGACAATCTTATGATTAAATAAGGACATAGATGTAGACCTTTTCAATATTGTCGCAAATAAAAAAAAGCACTCTTTATCTTGTTTAATAATTCTGTCTCGATATTAATGTTAATATATTATGAATAACTTGATAAAACCTGTGGAAAAAAATAGGTATCTCTTGAGTATATGAGATCACAATCATGAGGATTCAAGAATACCGGATGTTTATTCCTAATTTTATGTTCCTAGTCTAGAGATACTGAGAATGGGGTCAGTAATCTCGGGTAAGACTAGCACGACTTATCTACTTGTATATGGATACAAGGTATAGACCTCATGTGCTACAGATATAGAGATGTCTTAGCTAAAGTCGTGGGTGGACCTATAAGGGTATAACTCGCATTGAACAGACCCACAAAGAGACTCTATGAGGAACTCTCATAGAGAGTATCATTAGAGTAGTCTCTTTATATTTGGGTATGTCTTTCTTAAGACCAGAAGTTATTACCTAGACTGTGTTCTAGAAGGCATGCTTTGATTGTGCACCTCGTCTGCCTGAAACATGGAGACTCATAGGTATACTGTTGGGCTTGTCCTGAAAGAACACAGGGCTAGGGTGATAAGCTGAAGGAATTCGTCAAATCTTTGTGAGAGATTAGGTTATCTGTAAACCGGAGAAATCGGGATGACATTTACAGGGACTCGGGAATCTATGCATAGTAAAAGAGATCGAGATGATCTGCCTTTAGAGTCTGTAAATTGAAGATTCCCTATTTCGAATAAAGCTTACCCTAAACCGCAGGGGTTGATACGCTTCCTTACCCTAGGTTTTATGGGAAGGTAACCGAGACGAAAGGAAATATATACGGCAACCAAATATGTGCAATAGGATGATCAAGTCACTAATCTAACTAGTTCTGGGGCAACAAAGCATTGCTAGTGCTCTGTGTTGTCATTAGATGGGTTGTGGGCTTATTGGGCCCAAGCCCATTTATGTCAGTGGCTATGTTGGACCTAATGTGTCACACACTAACACCTAATTGTCTAGATGCTCTAGCATTAATGGTATTGGGCCTAACAATTGTTATTAGCCCAAGAAGTAGTTTGGAACTCCACAGATAGGGTGGAGGGCGCATGGATCTAAGTAATGGGCTTGGATAGTCCAAGACATTACTAATTAATTTAATTAGTTAAATTAATTATCAAATGTTTAAATTTTGAATTTTGAATTTGAAATTTGAAATTTGAATTTTGAATTTGAAATTTGAAATTTGAAATTTGAAATTTGAATTTTGAATTTTGAATTTGAATTTTGAAATTCGAATTTTGAATTTGAAATTTGAAATTTGAATTTTGAATTTTGAATTTTGAAATTTGAATTTCGAATTTGAATTTGAATTTTGAAATTTGAAATTTGAAATTTGAAATTTGAATTTGAATTTAGAATTTAGAATTTGAATTTGAATTTAAAATTTAAGTGTTTGAAAGTTTGAATTCAAATGTTTGAAATTCGAATTTGAATTGGCTATGAAAAGTTGTTTCATAACAAAAGGATAAGATGAGATCTTGTTGGAACATATCAAGAGGAAATCTTTTGGACATAATCTAAGAAGATTTGGGGTGCTGATTTCGCTGTTGGTTAATCGTCAGAATCAGCTCCAGAAGATACGATCTGTTGGGAGAATATTTGAGTGATTTGATTCAAGTTTGAATGCAACTACTCAAATGTATCTGGTCATTATTTAGGCTATATGGGGCGCACCATATAACTGATTATATGATGATTTATGATCAGATATTTGATTAGGTTTTGAACCTAATATATCATAAAGATATGATAGGATGTTGTTGGCAAGATTTGATGAGATTTGATTTGCAACAAATCCTATTCTCTCTCTCTTTGATGGAGCGCCCTTTTGGAAGGGATTTTTATTGATTAAAAATCTAATTTGTTTTTTAACAAATAGGCTCCTCTTGTGCGCCTCTATATATATGTTCCTTCTAGGGTTTTTAGAAAACCAACCAAGCCATTCTCTTCTCCTCTCCTGCGCCACTTTTGTGAAGTTTTCACAATGAAAGCTTCATTCTTTCAAACACTTTTACCTAGCCTTTCTCTTCACACAGTGTGCGCTTAGCAAGCCTCATTGTAGTGATCACTTGGTGGTTTCACAAGAAGGAGTTCTTGCACCTAGACGCAGTGGGTGGTGTGGATCAACGTTAGAGGGTCTGAACCCTTCAGACCTACCTTGATCATCACGAGTTTTCACGAACAAGGTAACATCATGCTTTCCTAAAGCATGATCTTGAATGCATGTGTTCCACAATGAAAAAGTTTTGTTTTTCCCTCCAGCATGCATCGGCCTTCAAGGCCATTTCCAACTATCAAGTGGTATCAGAGCCCGGTTGCTTTACCATAGATGGGTGATGGTACCTTGTTTGCGATCATATTTTTCACGGTTAAAATTTCTTTAAAAGTTAAAGATTCAATTTTTACGTATGGATTTTAATTTACAATACTTTAAACGGTTAAAGTTTTCGTTTTGATGAACATGTTATTTCGAATGCTATGTTCATGAATCCATATGTATACATGGTTGTTTTTACTTTGTGAAAGTTTTAAAAAGGAAACACCTTTTTTGAAAGGTGTAGTTCGACCATGAAAGGTGTTTTGAACACCTTGATTGTTTTCTTATTTTTCTTCATGAATTGTTTCAGAAACATGGCATGAAATTTTTTGAAAATTTGAATCATATACTCTTGTATATGGTTCGGCCATATTGAGATTTATGGCTACATGCATGGTTTAATTTTATGTTCTTTGAGAAAGAATCAAAAAAATTTGAATTAAATAAATTGTTGTTTAATTCGGCCAATTGAAGAATTAAGGAAAATTTAGAATTTTAATTATGTTTTAATATTTAATGGTTAAATATCAAGACATACATGAAAAATATATTATATGATAATATTTTTGTACTTGTGAGTTATCTAACATTTCAGGTGCAAAAGAGGAAGGGGATGGTCATGGTGCCTGGAATGTGAAATTTTTAAATTTTAAATTAATTTGTAATTTTGGGCTCTTTTACAATAGATGTAATTTAAATTTCAAATTTTTGTAATTTAAATTTTGTCCCTCCAAGATGTCTTGGAGTTTCTTTAATTGTAATTAGAGAAATTAGGCTAGTGGCGTATAGTCGACAAGAAGCCGAGTCTTGAGAAGCAAGATGGACAAAAGAGCGAGCACCATGACTATCTCAAAATAAAACTGTTTTATTTGCATGTATGTTGTTATACGACTAGTATGCATGAGATAGAGTATCGCGATATGTATGCTTTATGGCTTATGACGTCTAGTATGCATGAGTTGGACTAAATCGCGTTTGTATGATTATTATGCAAGTCCAATTGCGACTAGTTTAAACCGTTAGATGTATGACATAGGTTACGACTAGCATGATAATATATTAATGCGTTTGATGAGACTTAATAAACCCTTAATAAAATGAACCCTTAAAAGGAATAAAATTATTAAGCGCATGATTACCTCCCACCACCAATATTACTCAAACCTCTTCTAAATAGTGGTGCTCTACAACCTAGTTGGGACCCACTGTTTCGTTTAGTAAGAATAGTATTAGAAGTGTAAGACACTTGGGGTGCTGGTTAGTGCTTAACTGAGACATAAGATGCAGGCCCAGCCGGGCTTATGTGCTTAGGGTAATAGTGCTAGGTTGGTTGCATGAGATGCACCACTAAGTGACAAGGAGTTGTCAACCTAATGTTAAGAAAGGGTATGAGATAGCATTGATAAAGATCAATCCATTATTTAAATTAATCTTGCGGTCTCAGACGGGGGTTAAAATAAATAATCGCATTCTTAATCCCACTAAGGTAAATTCTAAAAGTAGAATAACCCTA